AAATTAAAGAGAGAATAAATAAATTTACCATTCTAAGTAATTATAATAATTATTCTATCCTCAATCTAAAATGAATATGTTTAAGGTTTTAATAAATTAGCAATAATAATAGTAGAGATTGATGAAAATTTTAGTAATATATGATATCAAATTTATCATAATTAAAAAAAAGTTGGGCAATAAATTTATAGAGAATAAAAATGTAAGCATAATAACTTAATTATTGTATAATTAAATCATTTTTTCTAATATATTGAAAATTATATATATATATTAAAAACATAATTTTCTTCAATTTGAGTAAAACATTTAATAAGAATATTGAGCTTAAATGAATATTAATATTAAATATTATTTTTTATACTTAAAAATATTTGAAATTGGATTTGAAAAATAGATAATATAAATAAAATTTAAATATATTATTTAATAAAATATAACAAATTTTAAAAAAAATTAAAGAGCTAAAAGTTTTGAAACACTATGTATAAATTAAATAAAATTAGACAAAATTAAAAGCTTAATCATCTAGATATTAAATGTTATATTTATCTAATCTCTGTAATCCTATTTAGTGATAATTAATTTATAAGATGAAATGCATGGTAGAGCTGTAGAGAGGTAATGAAGCTATGGTGTTGATGATAGCGGTGGTTGTAATAGTAGTCTTTAAAATCGCTCGAAATATCTAAGAATTATTTTGAATTTTTTAAATAAGTAATTATTTTTAATAAATAAATAATAATTAAAATAGTTAAAAAAACACATCAAATAAGTAATATTTTTTTAAAACAAAAGTGATTCCAAATAGGCTCTTGGCCAATCCAATATAATCAATAAATAAATTCTTAGTTCAACAATCAAGAGCACATATGAATATTTTCATGCACATGATCTATAATCATAAATAAAATTACAAGATATTTTAACATTTATAAAATCTATCGAAACAAATTATTATATTAAGAAGTTTTATAATAGATATTTAAATAACAATAATTTTAAAACAAACAAGCACCAACTTTTACATAAAAGATTTTTTTTCGGCCATATCTGCCGTCCTGCGGTCAACATGCCAGATGCGCAAATTATTACGTCCGCTCACCGGATCTAGAAATAAGTCCGGTTATCTTATAAAAATTTGACGCGTTGAATGTATACATGTCCGCGGAATTTTAAGTCATGCGCGTCAAAAGTGCAGGTGAAGCGCAGGTAAAGCTTAGTGAAAGCGCAGGTAAAGCGCAGTCAAAGCGCACACAAAGCGCAGTCAAAATGCAGCATCTTTTTAGTGAATGTCCGGACCTATTTTCTTATAATTTGCCCAACAGATGCGTCTCTTAGAAGCCTCGTTCCTCATTAAATGAACACAAAGCTGGAACACTGATTAAACGCTGCAGGTTCACTTCATCTTTCTCCTTATATATATATATGTTCTCTGTATACATTTCTCCTAATTAATTACCAATTAATGTTGCCAAACTGATCGTTAATGCCACATCGCACACCTTCCTTACCATTTCCAAGTTTCCACTCTTATATAATTCAATCCTTCTGCATGCTCTTGTCTCCCACCTCAAATATTTCTTTCTCCATTACTCTGCTCGCCTCCATCTCTTCCTCTCTCTCTCTCTCTCTCTCTCTCTCTCTCTCTCTCTCTCTCTCTCTCTCTCCATGTGCAAAATGAGTTCTTATAGTGGAAGTGAAGAAGAAAAGCTTGACTTGTTCTATTTGGCGATGGAAGAGAGGATTTTGCTCCTCATTTCAGAAGAAGAAGAAGAAGAAGAAGATCGAATGATGAAGACAGGGAAGGAGATTCTGCTTCAGTCCAATAACTGTTTTGTTAACCAGTTGCAGCCAAGAAAGCAATGGAGAAAAGGCTATTGTGAGATTCAGAATATTGAAAGGAAAATTAAGCCTTGGATTTATGAATACAATGCGAGGAACAATGGAGGCAAGCGGGTGCCTGAGATCAGCGGGAGGAGGGGGACGGGTGTCTTCCTTCCAAATTCTCTGTCGCTCGTAGCTGTTGATCGCAAGCAGTGAATTGATCTGGAATCTTGATTTATACATATCAAAACAGTTTTTATTTTTTTTTAATGAGTATTTAAGGTTTTTTTTATGTAATTTCTGAGTAGAATTTGCTTATTAATATTGATCTCCGTTTGAAGAATTTTTAGACTCTGAGATCTTCATTTCAAACTTCAATAGCCCGTTTGGGACGGCGAATTATTACATTATCCGGTAACATGATAGAGAGATACATCCGAATTTCTCTCTGTCTAAAGTAAAAGCACAGTCAAAACGTAGCTGCTATAGTAACTGCGCTTTGACTGTGTTAGACTGTAGATAGAGAGAAATCCAGATGTATTTCTTTGTAAAATGATCGGACCTAATAATTTGCCGTTTGGGATAGCTGCAGCTTTTGATAATAGTGGTTGTAAAATTGCTATAGAGAAAATAATTTTTTTAAAAGCTATAGTAAAAAGAAACTCCCTATCAAAAAATTTTTCTGGAAAGCAAAAAAAAAAAAACTAATGATAAAAAAGAAATTATAGTTGCGTGGTCTAAAAATTAAAGCACTAAAAAAATTATCACAATTGAAACATAAATTTATTTAAACCTTCACATTATTGATATTCTTCTTACTCTTAAATGTTTTTAATTATTTCATCAAAATATAAAGATAAATAGGTAAACATACCATCTTCGAGTTATTCTTAGATCAAGCTAATTACATTTGGACTGTTATTTCTTCATAAAGCTATCTAATCATTTATACAACTGTCGTGATGAATGTTCTAAATCATAACGGGTTTTTGCTCAATTTGTAAATATAAGAATTTTAAATCTTTCTAATTGAGACACATAAATTTCCTCCAAATTTCCAAGTAGAAATGGAATCCTTACATCGAGTTGAGCTAATTTGAGGTCAAACTAAACAACCAAAGGTAATGATATTAAAAAAAAAAAAAAAAAGAAAAAAAGGTAATGATATTTGAATAGTTGAATACTTGATGATATGAAGGAAGATGGTGAATATATTTCATCATTTAAATCAGTTTTGGATGAATGACTCTTAGGGTTCGTTTGGGACGGCTTTTTTATTGCTTTCTAAAACCGAGTTTTAGTACAATTTTTTTTATTTTTGTACTAAAACTCCGTTTTAGAACGTAATAAAAAAGTCGTCCCAAACGAAGCCTTAGTTGAGTGTTATTGTGGTTCTCAGGTCATTCCAAAGAATTAATGATTATAATATCTCATTTTACACAACTCATTTTGGTTTGTTGGTTGGGAGTTTAGGCTACCAACTTAGAGGCCTTAGATTCGAGACTTGTGTATGCGATGTGTCAGAGTCTGCTTTAATTGGCCTAAATGTTCCCCCTAGAATATGAAAAGACTTTAGAATATAGTTTATCTTACCTATGAGGATATTTATAGTTATTTGAGCCATAGGCGGATCCCCATTGAGTTGAGGGGGGGCATTCCGCATTGAGTTGAGGGGGGGCAAATGCCCCCCCCCCCTCAAAATTTTTTTTTTTAATTTTAGAGGGATATTTTGAAATATTTTGGGTATTTTGCCCCCTCTCAAAAAAATTTTTTGCCATCATTTAATCAATCATAAACATCTTTGCCCATCCCCCACAATTTTTTTTAAAGGTTCCTGAAATCAATCAAAGAACAGCTTATTCACCATCACAAGGACGGTAATGATGAGGCGTGCCATAGGAGACTATGACTTGCAGGTGTTTGTATGTGTTCACCATCACAAGCGATCATTTGCTCATTGTATGGGGATCTCTATGTAAGATCATACTTGTAATTTCTGTGGACTACAACGTGGGGAGCCTCTACCTATGCATTGAGAAGTAAAACCCTAAAGAAGGTGAGAGTAAGGAAGCTATCTTTAGGGCATCAAGGAGTTTTTTAAAATAGATCTAAGATTTAGCTACCATCAACTTGAGGAAAAGTTATTATATCTGCACAAAAAACTGAAAATCCGGAAAAATACCGAGTGCTCGGTACTGAATACCCAAGTGATTTGACGCTTTGTTATTGATCTCTGGATACGTTCGATGTCCGGACACAATAATTACTCCAACTTGAGATCTAGGGGAAAGACCAACCGAAGATGGCACTCTAAACCTATTATGAGCATTATGAGATTTCTTATTTCTTCAGATAATTTATCTACAATGTGTATTGAATTTGATGCCAGATCAAACATCCTTAATACATATAAGTAAAGATAAAAATTTCCAAGAAGAATATCTCAATATTGAGTGGGAGATTAGCCTAACTCTTTCTTTTTTTTGCCTGAAGTTACTAACAAGACTTGGACCTTGAAATTTACATTTATATAAACTTGTTCAAAGCGTATTGCTACCAGCTCAACCACCACCGGATTGTCTAACAAGGATTGATCCATTTGAAATGAGACTACAGCTTTTTATAACACCTTGATCTGCTTATTAAGAGCTTTGCTACAAAGAGATTTTCAATTCGACTTTTACATATGATGCGTTTATTTATCATAATTAATTTAAATGTCCAAAAAAATGGTTATAAAATTACTGTAAAAATATAATTTTTATAAAAGCAATTTCCAACCAAATTCTAGTAGAAACGATGAACAAATTAGTAAATTAACATCTGATCTTTGTTGCCGCAATAAACAATTCACAGCAATTTCGTACTGCATCAGTAAATTTACAAAGGAGCATACAACATTACGCATAAGGAGAAATTATTACGTGCGGACAAACAGAACCGTTCATATTTACTAAATATTTGCAAAATATTTATAAATACTCAACAAATACTCAGTTATGAGTATTTGCTGATTTGCTGAGTAGTTCCAAATACTTAGCAAATTCAGACGGTTCTTTCTGTCGGCACTCCGCACGTAATAATTTCTCAACCATAAGAGTACAACATAACAGGGGTGAAATAATAGATGAAAATTAATCATTTCGAACGTTAATAAATCAAAATGAACGGCTGACGAGAACGTGAAGCACTTCCTGTATTGCTGCTCCGAACATACTATATAGGATAAAAAAATGCTATATAGCACCAAAGCCGTTATTCCAGCAAAGAAACTCAACATAGAGCTAAGTAAGCAGTGTGTGTAAGAAGTATTTGCATGGAGAAAAAAGTTAAAACGCAGAAGACAATCACAACTGAATTGATCCCATGGAGCAATCCACAGTGGAGTAATTTATACATAAAATCACAACCGTACATAAAACTGGAATTTTCTAACAGAAGGAAGAGAAAGCGGTCCAGAATATAATCATACCCGTATTGTGTGATTAATCCTCAAACTCGTGCATGTGATCCAAAAGGTAGTTTGCAGCTAGTTCCTCGTTCTTGTTGCAGGCAAAGAAGACTTCCAAAACAAGGGCCCTATTGAAGCCCATTGCTTCAAGCTGCCATGGAAATTTATTAGATAATAGTAATCTGCAGTTACAGCACCAGAGAAGAAAATAAAGAGTCGTTTGTGTGAAATATTAAGCAGCAGAGAAGGGGAAAAAGAAAACAGCTTATGAATAGTTCTGGGAAAATCAGCAACCGTTCATAATCTTCCAATGATTTCATCAGAACAGTGTAAATGCGCGCATAGAATGATTATGTTACGGTTCAGCCCAAACCGGCCCAGGAGGTACCGGTTCAGGTGTATAGGAGGCGGACTCCTCTAAACCCCACCGCCTAACCATGTGGGCCCCACTTCTTTGGGCGTCAAGGGGGGGGGGGGGGGGGGAGGGCAATTTGAAATTAATTTGTAGTAGGAAGCTTTTTATTAGGAAAGACATGGGGCATGCATGAATTGGAGTTGTTTTTTGGGAGTCTTCTTGGTGTCTTGGGCTCTAGATACAAAAATCTAGAGATTGGGAGACCTACTCTCTTTTACTTTATCTTGCATGGATAGGAATTCATCAATTATATCTTGCATGGAGTTTGTTTTGCTTTGTTTCTACTATTGCGACCTATCGTCTTAAATTGATTTCCTCCATATTTTCTTGTTTTTCTCACTGTTTTGGCCAATTATTGCTAGGGTTGCTACTCAAGTATTTCCTCTTGGATTACTTGTGAACTCAAATCTTTCCTATCAAATTACATCTCAAATAGAACCAGTTCGGCTTTCATGAATTCCTAGCTTTGAAGGGTAATATATCTCCAAATTTTGGATATTGTGTATCAAGTTTCACTAGGTGCTATACTAGAAAAGATTTGAGATGTTTAAAGGCAATATTGGAGCTATGGCCTCACATTCCAGTTTCTTCACAATCCACAGGCAGCGTCATCTACAGCAGGCGGCTTTTTGTCATCACCCCTTTACTAGGACTAGGATTGCCTTAATTTTTAAAAATAGGATTGCTTTACTTGATCATGCTCATATATCATACATCATTCCAATTTCTTTCTTCTGCACTTCTTAGGAAACCATTAGTAAAGAGTTGTATGACAGTATTTTTTTCCTTCTCTCTGGATGTTATACATTCCAAAATTAATACTAATTTATACTGTCTTCTATCATTCTTATCATAATTTAACCTTATCACAACTATTTGGAATTAGCATAACAAATCCTTGTTCTCCATTCGTTTCAGCTTTCTATTGTATTTATATCAGGAACCCTCAGCAATCTAGTTGACTGTCTTGGGTTCTACTAGCTAGTGCAGCTAATCTGACTTCTACGGAGCAAGTGGCTCTTGTATCTAGTTGACAGATTCTTTCATAATGTCCACCCAAAGAAGTCTTCCCATGTGCTACACAGTTCACCATGGTTAAGACCATATGATAATTAAGCTATATATGAAGAGAGGGAATAAGATCAAATTCATTATAATTTCTTCTAGAGGTTCTTCAATAATTTGATCCATCTGATCAATGGCTTCTTTTATTGCAGCATCTGTTCATTTTTCCTCAATTCTTCATTCTTCTAAATACATGTTAATCATATTGGTTTTGTTCTTTTATGGGATTGCTGCAAAGATGCACAATATCCGCTATTCAAATTTTTGCCTCAAAATTTTTATCCAATATGCTTAAGAACTGTTACTGTGCTAGACTTCTTAAAGAATATTTACCTCTTTCCTTATAGAGATCACTCATATTCATGTCCAATTTGTTGGTGACTCTTTGTTGTTAGGAAATGCTATTTTATAAATGTTTGAGGATTCAAATGAATCTTTCAGAAGTATTGCCCTTTGCTTAGTCATGCTCTTAATCTCATGAGTTAACCATTTATTATAACTAGTTGGCTCTTATGAGGCAGAAAAAAACTATTTTAATTAAAGGTGGTCAATAGAAGATTGGCATTATCATCAAGTGTTAATTTCTTCCACTATAATTAAAAAAAGTTAAGAATTTGTTCAATAAAATTAAGCCTAACAAGTCTTAGGCTTTGAAATTTCCCACCTAGCTCTTTTACATGAGTGGTTTCAAGTAAAATTTCAAAAAGAAAATTGGATATTGGATAAGGCACTACCCAAATATTTTGCCCTTATTTATGAGAATTTTAACATCTACTTCAAGCTTTACAATAAGCCCAAATTTCTATAATTAATTAACCCCCACACTCACGTGAAAACTTTCAATTGAGACCAGTCAGTGGGATTTAAATATTTATATTATAATAGCAAAATTTTGATTATAGAAAAAAAAATACCAACATTAGCTTTGAATGAACAGTTAAGAAATGATGGGCGAGACAAGCAGTGGTCAATGATGATAGCAGGGGCACATCAGGAGGCAATGAGGGCAAGGCAGCCGACATGGAAGGCAAGTCAATGTATTTGAAAATCACTCATATTTCATGATTTTAAAATTCATAAAAAATGAACTAAATGATGGACTTACTTTTTTTATTCATCCAAACAGCCCCTTAACTATAGACTTAGATATGTCAGGATGAAAACTAGCCATTTTCTTAGTAGATCTTCGTGAACCAGTAATCCCGTATGTGGCTTTTCTTTTCTTCTCTTCAATGTCTTCTTATAGTTTTCAAGCTTTTTGAACATCTTATGAATCGCTTCAAAAGTCTGTTAGAATGGAACATAACGAATCTTCATTATTCAAATCAGGGGTGGATCCAGCTTTAAATTTTAGCTAGCATTGGTTTTCCTACAAATTTGTGGATGAAATACCTAGCATTGGTTTTCCTACAACCAAACTGCCAGTTTTCAAAATGTAAGGATTTGATTTACTTCACACTCAAAAGTCTTGCAACCAAACGGACCCTTAATAAAATTCGCACTCAAATAAATTAATCCCAACTCATTCTGATGTAAGCATGTTTGATCAAACCACAAGGAGAAATTTAAAATCATTTTCTGATTGCAATCGTTTTAAAATTGTCAAGTAAACCTTTCTCAAGAGGCATTAATCTTGTCAACTTTAGTTCTCATGATATTTAATATAATTATATATTTACATACTTCTACATACTTTTATATATATTTTTAGTTTATAATACTACATTTTTTGTTTCATATTGATATTATTACATTTACACTTTCATTCCATTACTTTGCTCTTATCATTCACAATTTGGTGATTGTATGCAGCATGCAAGGAGCATGGATTTGGTATTGATGCTAAGAATTTGTGAGAGGGTGTTTACTTACTAGATTGTTCTCCAAAGACTCTTTCACAAAAGAGATCACATAATATGTATGTTAAGATTTAAGCTACAAAATTTCAATGACCAAACTATGAGGTAGCACATCAGAATACATAGATGACATGACTTTGCCTATTTCTTATTTATGAATGACGTGAATAAAACAAATTAGGCAATTGATCGAGTAAAATCTCATATTAAGCATATTGTATTAAATGGAAAATATGAGCCAAATAAAGATTTAATTTTCCTGAGTACCATAAGTAAGGTGATGCTCTTATGAACATAAAGAATAAAAAATATGGAACTCAAGAAACATGTGGTTCAAAATGATATATTATTGCTTCTTTATGGTCAAATATGCTTGACAATGCATTATATCCCCATTATGTTTTGAATTGTAATCCCTAATGAAAAATATAGCTCCATGTACAAAGAACATATGCCCCATTATGTCAAAGAGAGGATGTATTATTCACATGTCATTTGAAGATAGGAGGCAAATTGAAACCTAAGAAATGGTAATTACAAAGATCCCCTAGGGAAAAATAAAAATGTATCATACATTGCCCATAGTTTGAGGACTTGCCAATGTAAATTCATAGTCATGTATTTTAAATGTAATATGAAGAATATGAGCTAGATGACGAAGCAAAAGACCTAAGTTGCAAAAGATCATGAAATTCATAATTCAGTAAATTTGAATTTCTATACATCAACTCATTTGGGATGTTCATTTTGGCAAATCTATTGTAGAAAACTTTACAAGAGGTAATATCAGTTCAATGAATATCACTTATTCCGTTATTTAGAAGTGGTGGCATATAATCAAATTAAACTCCACTTGAAGATCATAATAGGATTGTAAATTATTATGTTAAAATTTTGGAAATCTACTAATACAAAAGATATTATCTATTTGGCCGCCGGTACATATCATTGAAGATATTATTCTTTTGGGGTATTGACAAGGTGGTCTCAAAAATTATCCACAAAGGTTAGTCAGCTACTCTATATCATTATAGGTTGTATTCTTAATGAGCAGGGCACCTAGGGATTTAACCTATAATTTATATTTTTCTGTTCTCTGTTTTTACCTATAATAAACCATTAACAAAGGTGCGGTGTTCCTAATATTCTATGTACACTAACACTATCTACTAGAAGAAATTATGCATCTTTTGTGACTCATCATTTTGCTCATTTATACAAGAATCATGCAGACAAATTTCTTGATTGATTGGTTGCAAAGCAATCACTTCTTAATGAGATAGTATAGATGATCGAACCTCATTCACTCCCAATATGCAGTCTAACTAATTTTGAAGAGGGTTTTCTTAAGTGAAAGACATACAGGAGACGAAATAAGCTTCTATTTGAAGTTTAAATTTTATCTCTACGTTTACGACAGTATGTCAAGTTTGCATGTTGAGTGGTGTTCAAGCTTTCAACTTCGAAGCTCAGGTGTTTTCGCTTCCTCTAAATATCATACTGTTACATCTCCTGATGGTTTCTTCTCTTAGGAACGCCTGTCAATTGAAGAGAGTCCTTCACTATGATTAATAGGATAATGCATGTCTCCTGAATTAAAGTCTTGCCGTACTGGTTCCATCAGTTGAACATATGTGTTTGACCTTTCTCCTCCAAAAAGGGCTCCACTAAATACCACAAAATCTAATAAGTGGAACTCATAGTATGAGTGCACATTTTCTTGGGTAGGTTGAGAAGAGCAAAATTGTGGAAAGTAATAGTAATAAGTAGAACCATGTTGTTTTTTGAAGTGCAGCAATACATTAGGCAACAGGCCAGATTTACGGACTCACAACAAGTTGCCATGACGTGGGAATTTCTACCAATTGGCCTCAACTAATGTTTATTTCATTTAGAAAGGACAGCTCATTTTCATTCTACTGAGATAGCGTGAAAAAACATTCATCATGGCCAATCAGTCAAACAATATCTCAGAGTTCTAGTTGCCCAGGAAGAAAAAAAACCATGATAAAGCTTAAATACTGCGATTTAAGAAAGGCCGACATTTCAATAAAAAAAATTCTTACCTCAACCCACAGGCTGCAAGATGGTAAATATTGTTCACAGGAGAAGACATTGATTTGCATCCAAGATTCTAATCACAATTTTCAAACCACCATCTTTATAATCGCCATCTAATCCTCAAAGCCTCTAAGACTATGAAATAGCATTCTAGAAAAGGATTTTAAATTCCTATAAATGCGAAGTTTCATGACACTCACCAATCCAAACATGTTATTTTTATTATTGCTAGAAAACCTCAAGATTCTATATCCTTGAGTCTCTATCTTAAATCTACATACAAAAGGCATTTCACTCAAATATAAATATATACAAAAGGCATTAAATTTCCAAGGATCATCTGAATTAAAATTGTCAAAACACTTTTTCAAGCTGCTAGGCATAAAATTATATTACTTTATTAAATAAAGGTGAACTAAAGCCTGAAAAGATTAAAATAACTCACTCGCTCAATTGCATCACGCTCCTCAGGAGTAACTGATAATGCCTGCGGCATTGATGCAGCTAACTGGCCTAATAAATTGCTTTCTCCTCCCTCAGCCGGCTCATTAAGCAATCTAAGAAATTCAGGTTGATGCTCTTGAATAAGCCTCATAATCTGTGGATTTTGCCTACCCAATTCCAGAAGCATTGGCTGTGAGCAAGAAGAGAAGAATTTTAATAATATAAAAGGAATAAAAAATAAAAACTTGGAATAAAAGTAAGAATAAAACCTGCAGAATTTGGGGATTTTCTTGCACCATATTTTGTAATGCTCGGAACTGCAAAAAAAAAGTAAAAAAATCACAAAATAATATCATAACCTTAAAAGATAATTAAGTTACAATCTAGCTCAGATTTATCATCTTACACCACAACCTGAGGGCTATTGCGAAGAAAGTCAAGGTTTCCTGCACCAGGATTAGTTCTCATGCTAGGTAGACCCTGACACCAGATGCCAATGATAACAGTGCATGTAATTAGCAGTTGAAATCAATATAAAATGTTGTGTGAAAATAATAATTTACAACAGGCATACTTGAGGGAAGAGGTCCAAAGGATTGGCATTGGGACCACTCGATGGAATGGAAGGCTGCGCCGCTTGTGCAGCTTGTGTAGGAGGAGGGTTGATTGTTGTTTGGCCGCCACTGGGTGATCCAGCAACAGGTGGGACTTCTGCTTGCTCAGGAATACCCTAAGATTATTAATCATAGAGATAATTGTTGAAATTAATATAGAAAGAGATCAAATTAAAATTAAAACGTAATAAGTGCCAAGTTGCTATGGAATTTTTTTAGACTAGATTATAGTGATTATCTTATTACTAAAGAATGTGATAAAGATAGCAGAAACTTAGAAAACACCACAGAAAATTATACAATAAAGAAGCTAAAGGTAAAAAAGTATGCATTTGCCAGCCTATTGGATGCAAGTAACAGCTTCATGTCCTTTAACAAGCGTCAGATTATTCTATGATTATCAGATGGGGCGGCAAACACAAAAGAAATAACTGAAGTTGAAAGTCTACAGGAAGAACATCTATAACTCATAAAAATGGTTCAGGTGTCAAGAATAGAGGAAGACTTACAGGATGGCCCACCAAAAAAGTTTTATATCTACTAGGGATTGTGGAGAAAAGCATCCCCACAGATCATGCACTTGAACCATCTAAAAATCAACCAAACTGTTCCCTTCTTTTCCAACAATAAACATTTTCACTTAGAAATGTTGCAAGCATATTCAGAGATCAAAATCAAAGATCTGCATCCATTACGCATTGCACTTCAAAAAGCCTTCCATATCGACATGAGATCGACATAATGCCCTTGCCGTACATATTATAATTCAGACAATCCCCAACATGTTGTGTGTAATTAATTTGATGATTATGGACTTTTTTAGGTTTTTGGCATTTTCTAGATGGTACAATGTTGATATTGGCAAAATCACATGTAATGATGAATGCTAATATTAGTATGTTGTACATATATATATATATATATATATTCCAATCTCCCCGCCTTTTTCCTAACCACTTTGACAGGCTAATATTTAAGAAAACCTACTTTTCTAGATTTTTAATATCTAGATAAGCCTCTTGATGAAGTACCACAAGAACGTTATAAACTGCTCAATATCCCAACTGAATGTAATAGCATGAAAATATAGATGAATAGCACATCAAAATAAAAATATGGCAACAACTAACAAAATATTCCTAATAGAACAATGCAAAAGAATACCACTAAGTGGGTTTGACCTGTTGGAAGCTTAGCCCTCTATTCATTTAAAGCATAGAGCATGTTAGCTGATATGAACGTGATAGGAAACGCTTGTCGAAATAGAAGAAAATCTTGGCAAAAATTGAATTCCATCAAAGTCCAAACAGTAATTGAGAAGAACGATATGAAAAACTAGATGAAAACCTTTTTAATTAATGATATATGGTAGAAAACAAACAAAATACAATGGATCTTCAATTGAAGAGGAAGATCCTTTTAGACCACCGGCTCACGCGTAATAGAGGCGGAAGTGTTCCGCCTCTCCTGTACGTGCCGATCGCACTGCCCACGCCGGGAGAGCAGTTTAGGAAAGATTTTTTAGGGAGTTGGGAGAAAAACTTGAATGTAGGGACTGTTTAAGGATTTCCTTTTGGATTGTATGCATTAAATAGTTTGTTTTCCTAGGGTTATGGCATCGGGTAATTTGAGATCTCTTAGGTTTAGGTTTCCTTTGGGCTCTAGCGGTGTCTAGAGAATTGGGAGAGATCGATCCTCCTCTCGAATTGAGAATCACTTGTATCTTGTTTGTTTTTCTTCCGTTAGTTGATTTTTATCAATAAAGTTGGTTGTTTTTCTTTGATTTTTCCTCTACTTGTTGAGTATTCTCGCTGATTTTATCAAGATCGTTAGATTTCACTAGAGATCTTCAAATGTTTCCTATCAAATTGATATTAGAGCAATTACTGGACCCTTGAGAGCTGTTTTTTTCTTGAATTTCAGCGGGGATCCTTGTTCGGTGGAGGAAATTCTTGCTGATTTTTAGATCAAAATCCAGAAATTTTGATGGCGGCCAAGAAGGTAGATACATTAGAAGAACGTTTTGAAGGAGAGATGAGCCAAATAAAAGCCACGGTGGAGGATCGAATTTCATCCGTGGAAGACAAGGTTTCGCCCGTGGAAGACAAAGTTTCTGATCTTCATTTGATGGTGAGGAAGTTATTGGAAAATCAAATCCAAACGGCAGCATCAGAGACGAAGGGACGAAGGGACCAATGGGAAGAACTACGAATTCTAATTTTCGTAGGAGGGAAAATGATGTAGAAATCATTGAGGAGAAAGGGGGAGGTATGTAGAGAGACGTGGAAATAGGGAACAAGGAGTAAGGGGTGCTGGTTGGGAGAGAAAGGAGGGAAATTACAATAGGAGGGGTGCTAATTTTGGAGAAAGGAGGGAAGAAATTGAAGAGGGGTTTGAAGATGAACATGTAAGGGAAGATTGGGAGATGTGGGAGAGGGGAAAGTATAGAGGAATACGGGGAAACGGGGGAGAGTCGAAGGTGAAGAAGCTGAAAATGTCAATTTTTGAAGGGGGGGACACTTATGGATGGATCTACAAGGTGGAGAGGTACTTCGCCGTCAATGAGTTGACGAATGAAGAGAAACTAACAGCAACAAGCCTATGTTTGGAAGGGAAGGCGTTGTCGTGGTTCCAGTGGTGGGACCAAAGGAGACCTATACGGAGTTGGAGAGCATTCAAAGACTTATTATTAAAACATTTCCAAACCGACAGGGGAGGGTACTTCTATGAGCATTTTTTTGCACTGGTGCAAGACGGATCAGTGGCAGACTATTGTGAGCGGTTCGAGCACCTAGCCAGTCGGGTGGAGCGATTATCAGAGACTGCATTGAAGGAAAACTTCATGAAGGGGCTCAAGACAAAGATCAGAGCGGCGGTGAAAGTCATGATGCCTTGTGACTTGGGAGAGGTCATGAAGTTGACACAACTGGTGAAAAATTAAAAGAATCAAGATAGGGGAGCAAGGAGCAGCATTTCAAAAGGCTCTTACAGAATGATGACCACTCTTTTAGCATCCAAGGGTCCTGTATGAGGCAACACTCATGAGACTCCAAGGGAGAATCCAACAGGAGGAGGAAGTGGTGGGAAGCTAAAAAACTGACGGAGAGGGAGATGCAAGAGAAGAGGGCGAAGGGACTATGCTTCAGATGTGATGAGAAGTATACTACAGGGCACAAGTGATTGAACTCTTCAAGTTCTCACCGTCTGTGATAACGAGGAAACTGAGGGAGGTGAAAGTATGGGAGAGAGAGATGGAAGACAAGCTGCATCTAGACGTGATGAAGATCTCCCTGAATTCAGTGTTGGGATTCACTCTGAATCATACCATGAAAGTGGAGGAAATAGCAGATAGGGAGGTGGTGGTGTTGATTAACAGTAGAGGTACCCATAATTTCATCTCCAACTAAGTCGTTGACCAATTGGGGGTGAAATTGGTGGATAGAGTGTTATGGAGTGATGAAGAGTACAGGGAAGGAGGAGATGGGTCAGGGGATATGTAGGAGAGTAATGTTGACCATGCAGGGGGTTCAAGTGAGGGAGGATTTTCTCCCATTGGAGTTAGGGAGCACTGATGTCATCCTGGGGATGAAGTAGCTGCAGACCTTGGGGGACACCAAAGTCAACTGGGGAGCATTGATGATGGACTGATGGTGGAAATAAGAAGGGTAGTGATCAGGGAGATGCAGGGCTCACCAAAGCCATGTATCATTTAAAACCAAGGTGAGGAGTATACAGGAGGTGAGGGAAGGCTATCTAATAGAACTACATAGGTTGGAGGGGATCAAACTAAAGAAGGGCGGGGACATTCCTCTTTCAGTACAGCCATTGACTCAGTAGTTCAGTCAGATTTTTTAGCCTCCTCAAGGATTGCCTTGGGGGAAGGTTAGGGAGATGCTGGAAGCAGTGATCATTCAACCTAGTGTTAGTTCATTTTCAGTCTGAAGGTATTAGTCAAGTGCTTCAATAACAGTTTTGTTCGTTCCACCTTAAGGACAAGGTGGCACTTTGATGTAACCAAAAATTTGGGTCCCTTCCCAAATTTTTGGTCACAAAAAACAATCTCTTTCTAAGATCTAGAAACTACAAAAACTAGACAAATTAAACAAAACAAACTTTAATATTATAAAATAAAAGACTTACAAACTTGACTCAACCAAGACACCCTAAACTTGCTTCACTTATAGAAGAGGGATACAGGTGGGGTGTAAACTTGCGGAGAGACGAAAGAGGTTAGAAACCAAGACGAATGGCGGAAAGAGCTCGCAAGATTTCCTGGGGAGATGAGAAGAAGTGGGCAAAGCTCGTAAGCTTTTCAAATGAAACCCGTAGGTTTACATCTCCAAAAATCACATTATATAACATATCTAAAATAGCCACAAACAACTCCTATTTATAGGCACAAAAGAAGGAATACAAACAGCCACCTAAAAGCAATATTTAAAGCCATTAAAATAGGGAAATAGAGGGCCATAAGTCACTAAGAAGAAGACCAAAAGACTGCAGGAATTCTGTAGGAAGATTGCATAGAAAACAGTGGAAAGGCCCATGGAAATCCTCCCAAACAGCCACCAAACCCGTCCCCAAAAAGCTGTCCAAATTCTGTCCAAAAACAGCCCCAAAAACTCTTCAAATACTTCATTAAATGAGGGAAATGAAAGACCAACAGCCACCATACAGCAGGCCTTAATTTGCACAGGAAACAGAGTACAAAAAGCCACAGGAAAAGCCCCCCATTAGTCACGAAAAACAGCCCAGCCTGGGAACCGAAGAGCCACCCGCAGATACCAAGTAGCCAGCCGTGGAAATCAAGGAGTCCAAGGCACGAAAAATCCAAGAGCCAACCCGGGAACGAATAGACAAAAAGGGGGGGGGAGGGGGAGAATAGACAAGACTAATTAAATAATGAGTAAATGAACTAAAAACCAACTTATAATGAGCTAACCTTCCACTTGACATTAATGAACTGGAGAAGTCAAAAATCAAATTTTTTTGGGTTTGATTTGACCCCCCTTGTCTACATCACACTTTGGGAGGGGAGTATTGTTAGACCGGTAGTGGACCGGTCCAGCCGGTCCATTCTTGGACCAACTCACGCGTAATATAGCAGAAGTGTTCC